CGGATTCGGGTGTGGGGGGGGGGGCCGGGGGGCGCAGGGCTACGGGGCCCCGCTGGGGAGCGGGGTGGCGCTCCCGCCGAGGGTTCGGATCCCACATACAGACCGGTTCCCGCTCACTGGCTGGGCGAGGCGCGGGAGCAGCACCGAGGGTTGCGATCCCGTTGCTGGTCCCGGTCCGGTACGGGCGCGACACTGAGGGTTGCGATCCGTTTCTGGACACGAAAAAAGACAAAAAAAAAAAAAAAAGGAAAAAAAAGAATTCTTCACTTTGAAAGACACTTTTAATAGAATGAAGACACAAGCCACGGACTGGGAGTAAATATTTGCAAACCACACATCTGATAAAGGACTTGTATCCAGAATATTTTAAAAACTCTTAAAACTCAACAAACAACTCCACCATTGGAAAAACAAACATTCCAAGTAAAGAATAAAAGAAAACCAAATGTAAACAGGCACTCCATCAAAGAAGATATTTGGATGACAATAAGCACATCATTAGTTATTAGGAAAATGCACATTAAAACTACAATGAGATACCACTGTATATCTACTAGAATGGCTGAAATTAAAAAGACTGACCACAGCCAGTATTGGTGGGGACGTGGAGCATCTGGAACTCTCAGACATTGCTGGTGGAAATATATGGTCCAATGACTTTAGAAAACAGTCCGGCAGTTTCTTAAAAAGTTAAACAAATACCTACCATATTATCCAGTCATTCTACTTTTAGATATTTCCCCAAGAGAAATGAAAGCATATGTGCACACGATAACTTAAACACAAATGTTCATAGCAGCTTTATTTGTAATAGTAAAAAAAACTGGAAATAAGTCAAATGTCCATCAACAGGTTGAAAGATAAACAAATCGTGGCATATCTATGCAATGGGATACTATTGAGCAACAGAAAGGAATAAATTATTGATACATGCAACAACAGAGATGATTGTGAAAATAAATGCCTATTGAAAAAAGCCAGATAAAAAAGTGTACATACCATATGATTCGTTTCATATGAAGTTCTAGAAAATGCAAACTAATCTATAGTGGCAGGAAGCTGATAAGTGGTTCTGTCTAGGAAAAGGGATGTGGGGTAGGACATGGACATTTGTGAGGGAAGAATTACCAAAGGGTATAAGGAAACTTTTTTGGGTGATGGGTGTATTCCTTAACTTGATTGTGACGACGTCGTCACAGGTGTATACATACTTCACAGATGTGTCTAAATCTACCTCATATGTGCAATTTACTGTATTTTCATTATACCTCTCTAAAGTTGTTTAGAACACAAGTAAACAAGAATCAACTATGATTGTAGGATTGGTTTGGTCAACACCCAGCACAGTGTCTCTTAAGACAAAATTGCAGGTACTCAACGCACATTTACTGGATGAATAAACGAGTGAGCGGTTTTATTACCTTAGAACATCACTCACAAGTGGTGATGAAGATACCTCATTTCCTATACCCTCACTCCTCCCGACTCCACTCTTTCATTGCAGTTTATCCCTGGAAAGAGGCGCCACCAGCTTTCCGTCGCATGACCACAGACTGGTTAACCATTCATATAAAGAGTTTATTGCCGTGGGTCTAAACTCCTGCCGTCTACTTCACCATTGCTATTTCAGGAATATACTGCCTGACAATACTTTCCATTTTGGGGACACATTATCCAAATGGTTTCTTATCCATTTTTCATTTCTGTCTTAGAGAAAAGTCTCTGCACACTGGTAACTAGGCTGAATATCGTGCGGTTATCTTAGGTCAAACATCCTCCATTGCTCCCACATTTGCATTGTGCATTCCCTGCTTATCAAAGTAAAAATAAGCAAGTGCGTGTGAGTGCGTTTTATTAACCAAGTCTTTGCATAACGGGAGGCATTGCTATTACTAGGATACTAACTCAGTAGAAAGAGTGGATTGGGGGTATGGGGAAGAGGAGTGAGGTTAAGGCTAAAAAGAGGTCAGGGGTACCTGAAAGTCTCCATCCAATTGGGGCCATGCTGATACCCAGTCACCTGAAGCAGCGGGCACACACCCAGGTGCAGATTATCCCAGAAAAACACGCAGAGGCCAGAGATGCTCACTCTTATGTGGATCAAATAACTCTGAGAGTTGCATGAACTCCAAAACCAAACAAATGTGCAGAAAATAATTGCAAACAATTTCTAGGAGTTTACACACTCTCTGAAGTCTCTTCATGAGCTAGTTTAGAGCACTGTTTAGCACAGTGGGTCCTCCACGGATTAATTATCCGATGGATTGACTCATCAGTTAAGGAGCCTTGTAAACACCGACCACAGCATTTACCACCCCACCTAGATTCTGGAAACCAGTGCTTCCCCTTAAGCACAAGCGGGAAAATTAATGTAGTAAATACTCTTTCCAAGGGCCATGGTGTTTGCAGGGTTGAGGCAGCCTTGGCAGATCCAGGGCACGGTGCTGTCATCACTTCATGTGTGGGTCCTTAGCTGACAGGGGAGTGCCTTGTAATTCTAGCTCAGACACAGGTGCAGATGACTCATCTATTCCACTTTCTCTTTGAAGCTTGTTCCCATGGACATTCATTCCCCCGAAATTAACATATTCATGCTTGTCAACCCCACCTTCAAACCAATGACCTCAAAGAAGTCTACCAGCAGTGACATTCCATTCTCTGGAGTGCAGCAGGCCAGGAGAAACCTCATCGTGGGAATCTCAGTGTTGAACCCGCAGAGCAAAATCATCATCCATTTGGGGTGGGGGTGACTCACTGCCCCTTTTTATTATCATTTTGGGGTGTGGGGATTTCCAGAGCAGGATTCTCCAGAGAGTGGTATCCAGGTCCCTCCTCTCCGTGGGGATAGCAGGGACGCCGGGCTCGCTGCCTGTGTCGGGTCCCCCTTGAGTGGCCTGCTATGTTCTGGTTGTGTGTTTGTGTTCTGCCTGTGACTTTGCAAAATATTCCGACAAGAGACAAAGTCTTGGTCTCTGAGAACAAGCACTTGTTGCTTTCACCTTAAGTACCTTCTGGGAAATCTCAGGGTTCTGAGTGTCACCTTTATGGAAAACAGAGATTACAAAAGGAAATAATTTAATGTCACTCCCGGGACCCAGAGGGGATGGGTTGACCTCACTTTATCTTTTCCTTGGTGGGCTTTAAGTCTTGACACAAGAATAAAAGATCTGAAAAGGAATGTGGCTGACTTGGGGCTGTGGGGTGTGGAAGGGGTTGGAAGAGGTTTAGATCCTCTCGTGGTACCTGGAAAACTGTCGAACTGCACCTGGCCAAGCCGAAGCGTGTATCGTTTCTTCTTTTCCTTCACCACATCCTAAGTAGACACCCCACCGCCCGGCGCCCAGCCCTCCTGGAGAGAAACTCCTTTTCTAGGGTAGCGAGTCTAACCGAGCCGCGCCGAACCCAGCCGAGCCGAGCCGAACCCAGCTCACCCCAGCTGAAGCGAGCCCAGACGAGCCCAGCCCAGCCCAACCCAGCCCAACCCAGCCGCACAGAGCCCAGCGGAACCCAGCCGCGCCGAGCCCAGCCCGGCCCAGCCGAACCCAGCCGAACCCAGCCGCGCCGAGCCCAGCCGAACCCAGCCCAGCCCAGCCCAACCCAGCCCAACCCAGCAGCGCCGAGCCCAGCCCAGCCCAGCCGAGCCGAACCGAGCCCAGCCCAGCCGAACTCAGCCGAGCCCAGCCGAGCCGAGCCGAACCCAGCCCAGCCGAACCGAACCCAGCCCAACCCAGCCCAACCCAGCCGCACAGAGCCCAGCGGAACCCAGCCGCGCCGAGCCCAGCCCGGCCCAGCCGAACCCAGCCGAACCCAGCCGCGGGCGCGGGACGCAGGTAAGGGGGTGTGGGTCAGCGTCGGTGGAGGGAGGGCGGCATGTCGTATTGAACCCCAGCTGCCTGGCACAGTCGCCGCACCCTCTTCCCCGGAGGCCGCGGAAGGGGACTCACCTTTGGAATAAAGGCTTTGGGCACGCACCCAACCCCCACCCCCACCCCCGTTACAGGACAAATAAAGGTGTTAAGGTGACTTCGTGCAGTTTTCCCAGGAAGCCCTGAACCCGATAGGTGGCCGCTGTCCTGAGACCCTCCCTTGGACGGTTGGGCGGTGGGGAATCCAGGGAATTTGTCCTCCGTGGTGACTCGGTATGCTGGGACCAGCTCCCTCGCTGAGCACCCGCTCCCCAGCCGGGCGCAGCCGTGCCGCCTGCGCTCCTCTCAGCCAGACCTGGCCCTCGGCCACCTGCTGGCACTGTACATGGGAGCGTCTCAGAATTTTACCCTAGAATTTGCTGGGAGCGTTGATTTCAAAACAGCGTGGGCACCAGGCAGAAGCGGGTCCGGGCGCGGGCTGACGGCGCGTCCCCGCTCTCTCCGGCAGCCGTGCTGCTGCGGGCGCGGGAGGCGGCGCAGTTCCTGCGGCCCCGGCAGCGCCGCGCCTTCCAGGTCTTCGAGGAGGCCAAGCAGGGCCACCTGGAGAGGGAATGCGTCGAGGAGCTGTGCAGCAAGGAGGAGGCCCGGGAGGTGTTCGAGAACGACCCCGAGACGGTGAGCGCGTGGGGCGGGCGCGACGGGACTGCGGAGCGGCTGGGGAGCCGGGACCCCTGCGCGCACCGGTGGAGACCCGGCTTCCTCCGGCACCCCAGACCTCCTTCCCTCCTGAGGGGACTGCGCCGCTAGTCTCACCCCAACACTCTTAAACACAGAGACTGTCGCAGTCCGAGTCACAGGAGACCCGGGCCACCCACTTCGCGGGGCTGGGGGTGGAGGCAGGATTTTGAGGGGAGGGGTCAGGCTGAGGCTCCCCCACGAGTCCCTGAAGGCAGCGCTTTAAGGAAGTGTTCGATGTGAGATGAATCAGGGTGGAAGTGTGTATGGGGGGTCGGGGGAGGCTAGTGCAGGGCCCAGCACCCGTCTGCCGGTGCCATTCTGCAGGGTGCTCTTTTAGAAGCAGCTGGTGATTTCAGGAGCCTGGCTGTGCAGGCCTAGGACGTATTTCTGTTAATAATGTCCTTGGAGGATGTAGGGCGGGATGGGCATCCAACTGCAGACAGCAGCCCAAGTGTGAATGGGAGCATCCGGCAGAGCTGTGCAGCCCTCGGCGACAGGGCAGGCCTGGAGGTGATATTTAAGAACATGCATTGTGGGAGCAAGTGTCTTGGAAATTAGGAGCAGTGGTGTGGACCTTATGCTGCAAAGTCAGTGATTTCACAGGAAAGTTTTTAGTTCTGGAATTTTTCTTTTAGGAAATTCTTCTGGGATGAAATAAATGTCACATTTGATAAAAGAGTGGTTCTGTATGACCCATGTAGGCCTTTATCTTGACACTCCCTTTTAGATCTGCCTTTCTGAAACAAGCTTAAAACTGTTGCACTGCTGCTGGGCAGCTCTCTCTGCACAGCTAATCACTGCTGTAATTGAGGTTTGTGTGTGGCTGCAGCTTCCAGCAGAGGGTCTCTCCAGGTCCCAGAGGCAGGGCTAGAGGACCCTGGTAACGCAGAGTCACTGCCTGGCTGTGGGATTGTGTGGCTGATGCAACCTGGAACATTCTGTGTGTGCAGCTTGTGGGCTGTGGCTGCTGGTGATAAGAGTTGGTGACCCCCCCCCCCCCCCCGTGAGACCCCATCCTGCTGCAGCCCCCACTTGCTGGGACAGAGACACCCCAAGCTGTCCTTTCCTTGCTGCCCTCAAGGCCACAGCTTGTGCCGATCAGAACATGGACATGCCGACATGCCGTCTGCCCCTCCCAGGGCCTGTGCCCTCTGACCTTGATGCTTTTATGTTTTAATTATAACTGTTTACAAAGGTGTGAAATGTGAAATGAAGACAAGAAAAAGGGAAGAGCACTCACAACCTCTCACTGTACTACAACCACATCCTCCCTGTTGTTTTCTGGGGGGGCTCTGCACCCCTGTGGTGTGGCCCCTCCTGCCGCCCTGTGCACACCTAGCTGCTCCGATGCTGGGGGAGGCCGTGCCCGCTTGTCTCCCTCACAGTCTGGACTCCTTTTCATGCCAAAGTCACCTGTAATCTCCCAGAATTCCATCCTCCTTCCCAACCACATTCCCGAATAATAATGATTACATTGTTTCCTTTACGTGTCAGCTTCCCATTGGACCACCTGCTCCACATGTCCCCTCTCAGTGGGTGGAATGGCAGGTGCCCGGCCTTAACCGCTGCCTCGCCTCTTCCCAGAGCTTTTCTGTTTCGTGGATTTGGCTGTGGGCTTGTTTTCCACATTCTTGCCTTGAGAGACAGTGTGGGATGCTGGGAAGAGCCGGGGTCGGGGTTGGGGTTGGGTTTGGCTGCTGGCCAGGTCCCAGCTCTGCACTGGCAGATCAGGCGTCCACCCCTTGTGGTCCTTGTGTCCACAGTGTCCTCCATGCCTTGGGGATCCTCCGACGCAACTTGCCGCTGGTGCACCTGACTGAGAAAACCACCTTTTGGAAGTGCTGTGAGATGATCAGTGACTTCCTCTGCTCCAGAGCTTTCTCCCTGAGAAGTATTAGTTCAGGTTATTCTTGCCTTTGAAGTGCAACCCCTTTTACAATTTGTGAAATGAGGTTGATGGAGCCACCAGGACCTGACCTTGCCATCTGAAGGACAAGGCCCCCTTCGGGGACTGGTCCCGCCTGCCCCCTTCCCTGCCATCTGCCGATCTAGGTCAACAGCCTGTCCTGTCTGCGGCGCGTCTTTGCCCAGCTGTAGTCGACATGCACCTGCCCAGCCCCGGCTTCTTCCCCCACTGGCAGGGGAGGCAACATTGCCCCCCATGGTCCTTCCCCCACACCGGGTAGACTTGGGCAGCTGCCACCAGCTCTCTGGGGATGCAGAGGTCTGTGGTTGAGTGCTCACTGTGTGCCAGGTGTTCAAGAAAAAAACTGTTGAGTGACACTTGTTAAAGCACAGTAGGGAAGACTTTATTCAGGACCATCGCTGTAGGTATGGGGACCACAGCACCGAGGTCTCGCAGTGGGGAGAGGTTGGGCTCAACTCTGAATACAGTGTAGACACGTGGGAATTCGTAGCCAAGCAGCAGGGTGGGGGCCTGAGGATGGAAAATCACTAAGAGGGAACAGCGGGGTGAGGGGGATGCTGGCTAAAGCCACCTACCAGGATTCTTGCAGAAGACAGGCCAGGGAGACCAGGCCACCTGGGGAGGGGGTGAGGAACTTGATCAGACATCGAGGCTGAGGGCTCTTTGCTAGAACCGGGTTTTCCAGGGAGGTGCACGGATGGGCCTGGGAGAGGTCGGGGAGCTGCTTGGTCCACAGAGAATTTTTGTCGGGACATGTGCCGGATGTGCCCTCAGCTCTTTCTGCTCAATCCTCCCCAGGTTGGGGTGTCCTCCTTCAGAGCCCTCCTGCTCCCAGCTGGCAGGTGCCCACACCACCACTGTTGCCACGCGCCTGTGGCCTGGAGCCAGGTTCTGATGGAAGGCCCCCCCTTTCCTGTGGCTCCTCCCACCTGCATTCCTGGCCGGGCGGTCCCCTGCTGGGGGTGGCCATGCGGCTGTTGTTAATGGCAGGGCCCCTCCCTCCCAGAGCCTGTCTGCCTGCTGCTTATCTCTGTTTCCTTGTCTGTCGTCATTCCCCCTTCCTGGCATTCCTCTGCCACTCCTTGGCTGGGTTCCTGGGCAATTCTCCCCCCAGTCTCTGCTGAGGCTCCCCAGGCCCAGCCCAGGTCTCCGCACTAGTCGCCTTTCTCCTAAGTCCTTTAAGGCCGGCGGGCTCCAATGCCTGATAGGATCTCAGTAATCACCCTTTGCTTCCGGAAAGGATTCTGGACAAGACTTACCCCAGCCCAGACCTGCTGGCAGACAGGTTGGGTGCCTGCCCATGCCCTTTGATGCTGGCCTGTAGGTGGGAAGAAAACCCAGGCAGAGGTTCCTGATCCCACCACCTTGTTCTATTTGAGATACAAGTGCAGCTTTCACAGTGGGGCCGGGGGTATCCTCCGAGGGCCTGGCCTGTGCGGAGACAGCACCGCTTGTGCCCCAACTCCATGGTCCCCTTGTCCTCCTCTGTCTCTGTGTCTCCCTGTCTCTCTCTGTCTCTCTCTCTCTCTCTCTCTCTCCATCTCTCCACTATCCCCTCCACTCCCGCCTCCCCCAGCTCTCCCAGGGGTGGGGCCCCACCCATGCTTCTCCATCTCTCCACTATCCCCTCCACTCCCGCCTCCCCCAGCTCTCCCAGGGGTGGGGCCCCACCCATGCTGGTGGTGAGTTCTCTAGGTAGAATTTTGGGTGTAGTCGGTTTCAAAGGCCCACGTCCTGTGGCCTTGCCTTGAACCCTGTCTGTGCTCCAAGGACCTTTCTCTTGAGACTGTGGGAGGGCACCCCCAAGGAGTTGCAAGCCCCCCCAAGGGAGGGTCCCAGCAGGAGGAGGGGAGGGACCCTCAGAGAACTCCCTCTTCATTATGGGGTACCTGGAGGGGGAGGTGCTGGCCTTCTCCCACCCCACCCTGTCTTTACAGTGGCCACCAACAGACACCCATGCACTCGTACACACATCACATTCACGGCGACACCTACATACATCCACAGACACACACATACACGTGTGCACAGATATACGTTTGTGTTCACAGAGACACATTTACAGGTAAACACACAGAGAACATAAATATGTGCACACAGACACCTAGAATACACAGATGCACACAGACACAGAGACACATATGCATGTGTACATACACACTAACAGACACAACACACACGTGCACACGTGCACACAGACACAGAGCACATGCATAGAGACACATACACTCGTAGACTCACAGACAACACACACGCATACACATGTGCATATACACAGAGACAGGTGTACACGCAGCACACGCACGTGCACACAGACACGCACAGAATGCACACACACACACAGAGACACATGTATCCACGTGCATACACTCACACTTTTTCTACGACTTTGGGGTTGCATCAGGTCACTGAGAAGTGAGACAAACTCCTCAAGGTTTTTTCTGCAGACCCAGCCCCCTGACCCCTCTCTGGGGTTTCTCCACTCCCAGAGCACCTTCCCCATGGGCTGAGACCCTGCAGCCATGCCCTTCCTCCTGGGTGTCCTCTCGAGAAGCTTTTGCCACTGGGGGCCTTGAGCACACAGTCATTGCAGTTGAGGACCCTGGCACTGTTGCTAAGCGGTTGTCCCCTGCCCAGAGCTGCCTGGGCATGGGCTTGGAGGCCTCAGAGGGGTGGGCTGTGAGGCAAGGGCCAGGCCTCCTGGGTCTGGGGGGGTTTGAGGGGTAGACCAGCCTGACTGTTGCTAAGCGGTTGTCCCCTGCCCAGAGCTGCCTGGGCATGGGCTTGGAGGCCTCAGAGGGGCGGGCTGTGAGGCAAGGGCCAGGCCTCCTGGGTCTGGGGGGGTTTGAGGGGTAGACCAGCCTGCCAGGCTCCCCAGCTCTCCTGGTGCCTGCAGCACGTCCATCTGTTCTCGTCTCCTCAGTCTAGCGAGGCACCAGGCCCTGCAAATGTACAGTGCCCCAGCCAGGGAGCCCAGCATCCGTGGAAAGCTAATAGAAGATGTCTTGAG